GCCTCTCATAGCTTTGGTTTTGAAGAACCTTAAAATATTATATAAGACTAGGAATTGCATATGCGTTGCGTGGGGTTTAATAATTTAACTTAGTAAATTATGCAATAATTTATAGTGTACTTATTATTTGTGTATTTAATATCATATATTTTTGGTGTTTATAGTAAATAACTATTTAAGTAAGAAGACTAAGAATTTGTAGCAAATTGTTGGACATATACAATGTTATATGCAAAATCAAATAGTCCGTTACAGCATATGGAAAACATATTCTTTGACACAAATTTTTAACTTGTATGTCTTTATCAATATTCATTACGGGTTTCTAAAAAAATGATTGCTCGTCTTTTTTTTTCCATCAAATAAGTTTGTAAAGATCTATTAATCAGACAATTTATAGTATGTTTTGTTTCTACCGAGACATTTGCATCATCTCAACAGAGGTGTTGAAATGCATATTTATGTTAATTTCATTAAAACCTTGAATCATAAGGAGTGAATAATTGATTTTTGATTGTATTTGTGTCCCACATTTTTTTGTTGATTTGCTGTGATTTTTATCTTTCACATCGATTTATTGGTGAGGTGATTCTGTTCTTCTGGATTTACAATTTATGGTGGAGTAAAGTTCTCTTTCGAGAGTCATGGTTCAGAGCGTTACTGTTTCCAACACAAATTATGTTAATTGCATTAAGGGGTGATTAGGTAAACTGGCTATGAAAACATTTAAAAGAACGTTAAAAGTCAGAATTTCTCAAATCAGACTTTTATTTTTTAACAACCTTTAAAGTTCTAAAATTATTCTTTAAATATCTCACATCATCTTTTTTCGTTTTTGTTCATGGTATACATTTTTTTGTATCTTTTGGTTTAAAATCACATTTACCTATATAAGAGATAAATTTTTAAACATTTTTTTGTATAGTATTTTAGTTGAATTTGATAAATAAAATATATAATTTTTATACATAAAATAATTATGTACATTAATGTACAAAAGTCACTTAATTATAATTTGTTAGAATTAATTAACATAAGAATTAGCTATTAAATTGAACTAATTGCTAAAGTTAAAAAGTCAAATGTCAAAAAATTAGGTGACATATGTCAGCCTGTCATGACTTGAATTTTGAGAAACCTTAAAATATTATATAGTATATTTAATAACTAATTTCGTATAAGATGTGGTATTTTGAAAACTAAG